ATCTTTTCCTTGTATCCTGTTCTCTTCATTCTCCCTTGCTCCCGAAGGGATGAGACCAGTGGTGTATATTAGATGGCCGCTCACAGGCTTTAAGACCCCAGACACTACTCACCAAGGTAGGATGTAGAGCATTGTCTTTATAAGCTGTGTCATGCCAATTGAGCTAGATGTTCCCCGAGACCATGGTCCCCAGATGGAAGGATTTTTTTATGCCAGTGGTTCTCAACTCTTTTCTACATTTTGGAAAAACTGGGGGAGCTTTTTAAAAATACCCATGTCCACGCCCCAATCTCAGAGATTTGGGTTTAATTGGGTATTGGAGCACTGGTTTGTTTTTAAAGTTCCCCAGGTATTTCAATACGCAGCCTGGGTTGAGAAATGCAGCTATAGACTTACTGTGGTGAAAGCTTAAAGTAGGTTCTACTGCAGTTGTGTGTTTTCATCACATAGGCATGCACTGACATGCTGATAGGGATTCATGTCACAGCTGAAATGCTAATGCCAATGTCAACCGCTGGCACCTCTAGATTTACTGCCAGGAGCCTTCTCCTTTAGCACACAACCTCAGATGTCCAGGCATGTCCCCCTACCTATCCCACATTGAGGAGGAAGCTAACGGCCAACTAAACCACCATCCTGGAACTGCCACTCAAGATGTGGGGGCAGGAGTTCCTAAGTAAAATCCTTGCTCAGCACAAATCTGGTTGTGTGACCTTGGGAAAGTTACTTATCAATTCCCTGCTTCAGTTACCTTGGCTATAAAATTAAACTAGTGGTATGGACCCGATTCAGAAATATCATGAAATTATATGAACAAAAAGTTGTAAAGTGTTGGTTCCATAAATGTAGATTGTTATGCAATTGTTAAATAATTTTATTGTGTAAACTCCATAAAAATCTAAATTAATAAAGCACCCTGATGATTCTGAGATAGATGGTTAGGAAGTGGCTTTGATAGATCTGCTCCTGTAGTTCAGTCTTCCCTGAGTTTTGTTTGTTCAAGTCTTCTTGAGTTTCTGTGAGACAATAGCCCCTATTCTTTCAATAAATTATGCTTTTTCTCTCCCCCCTTAAACCAGCCACTGCTGGTTTCTGTTACTTATAAACAGAAAGGATTTTAAGAAATACAATAAACCAGTGTAGCATGTCCTAAATTGTGTTCTGTGGAATATTATGTTCTAAAATGTTAATATGTTTTGTGCAACAAGTTCTTAACATATTTTTATTTTAAAATCCTAAAATACCACTCATATTAAGAACTATATTAAACATGTATAAAGTTATTCTGATTATATTCAATAATCTGCCTTTATAGAAGTGTTCTATGCCCAAGAAAGTAGCCCCTGGGTGGCGCAAGTGGTTAAGTGCTGGACTACTAACTGAAAGGTTGGCACTTTGAACCCACCCAGAGGTGCCTCGGAATAAAGGCCTGGCGATCTGCTTCCGAAAGGTCACAGCCTTAAAAATCTTACGGAGTGCAATTCTACTCTGCACGCATGGGGTCTCCATGAGTCAGAACTGACTTGATGGTAACTGGTTTTGTTTTTTTGTATGCCCAAGAATGCCAGCAAATTCTCTTGAGAAACTACCTGTAGTTTCACCTGGAGGGCTTGTTAAAACACATTGCTGGGTCCTAGCCCTAGCTTCAGCAGGTCTGCTGTGGGCCCTGACAATTTGCATTTCTAACAAGTTCCTGGAGTCCCTGGGGGGTGTAACCATTAATAAGCTCAGCTGCTAATTGAAAGGCTGGAGGTTCGAGTCTACCTAGAGGGGCCTCGGAAGAAGGGCCTGGTGATCTTTGTCCAAACAATCAGCCACTGAAAACCCTGTGGAGCACAGTTCTACTCTGACACGCATGGAGTTGTCATGAGTTGGAACTGACTCTACGGCAATGGTTTTTTTTTTTTTTGGTTAAACAACTTCTCAGGTGATGCTGATGCTTATGGACACTTTGAGAACCACTGCTGTAGTATTTTCCAAATTTGCCTGATTCTAAGTACCACCGGGGGTGCTTCTGGTTACTAAGTGAATCTTATGACTTGGGCTATTTGTCTGATAGTCACTGGTTCATATGACATAAATGATCTTAGGATTTTAACACACATTTTGATGTTACTCAATATCTGTATCTTGCTTTTATTGCAGCATAATAGAAAATGTAATCACAGGTATGTCATAACAAAAAGACCATGAGCTACCATTTTCACAATGTTCAGTTATTTTTAAATTAAACCCAACCCAACCCATTGCCATCGAGTTGATTCTGACTCATAGCAACACTATAGGACAGAGCAGAACTGCCCCATAGGGTTTCCAAGGAGCAGCTGGTGGATTCAAACTGTCAGCCTTTTAGTTAGCAGCTGAGCTCTTAACCACTGCGCAAGCAGGGCTCCATTCTTAAATTAGGTTGGTCCAAAAATTATTCATTTAATCTTTTTAAGAACTCAAGCTTATAACTCTTCTTCACTTTAACTAAAGTTTCAACTTTTTGCTTGCTTTAGTCAATCATCGTTAGACTTATTTTTCTTTAAAATAAAATAGAAGAGTAGATTCTATGTCCCTATTGAGGAATCACCTCAGGAATATCACTCCTAATAAGGCAAGTGTTGATTAAAAGAAGTCACAAAAACACTATCATCTACAGACTTAAGGGATTAAAAAAAAAATTATGGTGATATATATAACAAAACATTTGTCATTGCAACCATTTTTACGTGTACGATTCGGTGACATTTGTTACAGTCCACAAAACTTAGGGGATTTTGTATGTCTTTTTTTGGGGGGGGTAGGAGGGTTACAAAAATGCAAAATGGAAGATATACTACAACTTATCTCTAATATTTAAACTTTTAAAATTTTGTACTGTTGTTAAAAAAAAAAGGATCATTTCTTGCACTTCATCTTTGAGGTCATTCTGTTACTGATCACTTGGATCCTAGCGCACACCTCAGAAGCATGTATAAACCTTCTATCAGCAGCACAGTAATTCAAAGTATCCTGTTTCATGGGAACACTTGTGTTTGGTAAACAGCCATCTAATGTCTTGAGTATATGGAGACGGTCAATGTTTTCTCCAAGCTTTTTTCAATAGCCCTTAAGACTTTTGTGATATAGGGTCTTGAAACAAATAGCCAGGGAGCTCTGGTGGTGCAATGGTTAAGTACTAAGCTGCTAACCCAAACGATGGCGGTTCAAACCCATCCACAGTCTCCACAGGAGAAAAGACTTGGTGATCTGCTCCTGTAAAGACTACAGCCTAGATGTACATAAAAAATAATTGATTCCGTTAACAGATTTGGATTAGGAGTCTCAACTCCAACATACTGAGTGACCATAGGCAATACATTATTTCCAACTTTAGTTCTTTCAATCTACAAAATTTGAACATGGTCACCTGATAGTGCATAAGGTCATATGAAAAATTCTCTAAATCATTTTTTAATTGCAAAATGGTGCCTTGAATCGCATCTTTTTAAGCAATCATCCTCCTCTGTCCTCCAGGCAGTTCCTGACCTCTATGCCTTGGATTCAGATTTCTCCTTCAAGCTTTCTCTGAACACCTTAGGATAGACTGGGCAGGGGCAAGCTTGTGTTACACACCCCACCCACCCCGCAACACACAGTTGTTTATCAGTGCTTTAATTGTCTGTGAGCTCCCTGTTGCAGGGACCCTGTCCATTCATTTTAGCAGCCCAGCAGTGTCTGTCCTCCTACTGTCCTCCAGATAGTAAAAGGCATCAAACACAGTTCACTGATGACCATTTATTATAATTTGTTGGTAGCACACAGACCCATATTAATTAAAGCAGAACTGTGTCCACTAGGAGTGGACAACGATTATGTAGTCATTCTCTGGCAAACGGTGTGCACTTAATCATCATGTTTTAGTTTCTTTATCTTCTGCTTGTGCCGCTCAATTTCTTTCTGAAGACGCTCAATCTCCTTCTTACTATGAACGATCTCTTCTTCATGGTACTTCTTCAAGGCTGCCAGTTGTTCCTTAGCCTGCGCTCTATAAGACACAGTGCCTCTGGGTTTAATCCCAATCCTTTACCCCAAAGAGATCTCTGAGCATAACCCAAAATACCTATGGCAAAAAAACAGGAGTCCCTGGGAGTCTGGCTGGTCATCCTCCTCTTTCCCCTCCCCACTAGTGGAAGAATATTCCATGTTAAGGAAATGACCAAAATGATTCCATTTTCCTGGTGCTAATGCCTGAAATTCCACCATTAGAAAGCTGTTCCTTTCAAATTCCTCTTTAGAGGAGAAAACTCCAGAGAGATGTGACGTATGTAAGTCCCCAATACCTTATCAGAGGAAAAAAGGAGTAAAACGGGGGGAGGGGAGGAGTGGGCAGACAAAGGAGTGTGGTTAAAGGACAAATATCCATCTATCCTAATTTTGTTTAGGGCTCTCTTTGTCTAGAGAAATGCATGGCCCACTGTAAAGGCCAAAAAGAAAGAATAAAGAAGCCTTAGGGTCTCTTACATGGGCAGTACTGGACAGTCCAACCTAGGTCTTAATGTTGGTTTCGTTACTTTTAGGCCTTAGTTTTCCTTAACCTTAAAATTAATATAGGGGCCCAATTAGACGATCTCTAAGGGCAGTATGCAACAAAGGGTTCAAACATATCAAAGATCATGAATACAGCGCAGGACCAGAAATGTTTCCTACTGTTAAAGTCGCCAGGAGCCGACTCAAGGGCATCTAACAACAGCAAGGGAAGTATCTTGGCCTGCTGGTACGGCAGGTGCCATGGACATAATTCTTAAGACTGAGCAAGCGAGGGCAGAAACGAACAGACAGGCCAAAGGAGAGGCAAAAGCAAGATTAGTTCCACGCTCCTCCCCAGCATGGATGTCAGTTAAAGATAACGTAGGGCTGGGAAAGGGATAGGGCCAGCCCACTTCCTACTCCTAAACGGAAGAGGGAAATCTACAGCCCAGGGTCTGGTCTGGGCAGGGCTACACAAAGGGCTTCAGAAGAGGGTGAAGTCCAGCTTTGCGCAGGTGCCCCCAGTTCCTATGACCCACACTGTCTGGTCGAGATGGAGACGCGTGGAGGTCTAGAAAGGGTTGGGAGAATCTGAAGAGTCAGGGAATCCATACGGGGCTTGCAAAGCTAAGGGGTGTGCGGAGAAAACAGAGCGTGGAGAGGGTGACAGGTGGGCAAGGGACAAGGGAGTGAGGCTCAAAGGGCCGGCAAGTATTGGCTGGTCGGAACTAGATACTGCGAAGAAATCTGGGGGACGCTTCATACCACCCTGGGAGAACTCCACGGCTGGAGATGGCAAAGGATACGGGGGGGTTATGCCGTTGGTGGAGAGTTCTGGAGGCCTGACGGTGGAAATGGCTTGGGTTTGGGGGCCCTAGGACTCTGCGGGCGCCCTATAGTGGCAACTATCGGGACCTCAAGTGTTGAGGTGTAATGGGTTAGGGGACCGGCTGGACTTGGAACCCCGTGGCCCTCACCGGAAGTATCGCTCCTCTTCAGCCGCCTCTCTCTTTGCAAAGGCCCCCCCGGCCTCTCGGATAGAGCCTGCACGCCTGTCGAGATCCTCCGACTGCGGAGAGAGACAGAGGCAATGGTAAAGATACCGAGAGGGAGACTGGGCCTGCGCTCAGGGCTGGGAAACAGCGGACACTGCCGCCGGCGTACCTGGTCCGAGCTGAAGCCTTGGGCTTGCATGGCCCTCGCTCCCAACGAGTAGAGCCGTACCCGCGCCGCCAACGCAGTGACTGCCATTGCTGCTACTGCTGCCCCTCGCTCGACACTGCCGCTGCAGCGGCTCTGTAGGCGCTAACCGCGAGGATGGCCAAGCAGCCAATCTTTTCGGTGGAGGGGCGAGATAAGCATAGGGGTAGCGAATCATGAGAGGGAGGAGGCGGGGTTTCTGGAATTAGCAGCGAATCTCGAACGAGACGCCTATTAGCCAACCCCTAGTAAGGGCTCTGCGGGCCGAAGGCCTGAATAGTAACAATGGGGTAGGGTGGAAATTGGGGAAAGGAGACTGTCAGAAGCCGATTTTGGCACTTGTACTAATTAGGACTTAACGATTCTAATCCTAAAGTTATTATTATTAAAAACCCAAAAGACACCTTCCTGGCCTACTAACATCAACAACGTGCGTAAGCCTTCTGTTTCCTGGCCTGCTAGCATCAATAGGGTTTGGAGAGCTAGGTCCAGGACGCTGACGCCTGGGGTGACCAGATTTAGATGATTAGGTCCGGAAAGGACACACGTGGGCGCGCGCACACATAAACACACACACACAGACGCACAGACACACACAGACGCACCGACACACAGACACACATCATGTTCATCTCGTAAGAGGTGTCCATGCTCTTTTATTGCTTTGACATTTCATTCTCTCAAGTCTCAGCTTAAATGTCACCTCAGAAAAGCTTTACCTGACCACCTTACCTAAAGAAGCTCCCATCCCAAGTAACCAAAAAAACTTAAAAAAAACAAACCCTTTGCCATCAGGTGGATTCCAACTCATAGTGAGCCTATAGGACAGAGTAGAGTTGCCCCATTGGGTTTCCAAAGCTGCAATCTTTAGGGAAGTAGACTTCGGACATCTCGCACAGAGCGGCTGGTGGGTTCAAACCGCGAACCCTTAGGTTAGCAGCCAATCGCTTAACTGCTGCACCACCATCCTGAGTAATTCTATCATATCTCTGTTTTTTCCTTGCTCTCAATCTCTCTCTCTCTCATTTCTGTCTCTCCACACTTTTTGCTTTCTGTAGTTATCAGGCCTAGTTCAAATAGGTACTGAGTTAATATTTGTGGAATGTATTAATATGTTGTTGAATGAACTTGATAACTTTACTTTTGACAGTATGGTACAATTAAGTGGAAAGAGCACATGTAGGAGTCTAAGGAAGGCTTTACCTTGACTTTCCTTCATCCAACCAACAAATGTGAACAAGACAATTGTAGTCTTTACTTTCACGAAGTTTATAGCCCTTTCCCAGGTCATTTTCTCTCTCTGGACCCAGTTTCTTCTCCTTTAGATGAAAGGGTTGGGTCATGATTATAAAAGTACTTTCTTTGCTTTCTGTGAAATAGTAGCAGAACTGGTTTTATTGATCATCATGGAAAATACCAGCACTGGTTTGTATGACTTAAATGGGAGGAAATGCCTGCAAAGCATATTTTTGTATGTTCATTGCAGAAAACTTGGATAAACATAAAAGCAGAAGAGTGGAAATAATACAGTAATCAACTGTAAGCCCGTTTCCTAATGATAATAGTTAGATGCGTGTCTAGAAGATCTTTAAGTGCCATTCCAGTTTCAGAAACTATTTCTAGTCCTCAGATACCTATTTCTTTCTCTCTCTTTTTTTTTTTTTTATTGTGCATTATGTGAAAGTTTACAGAGCAAATTAGTTTCTCATTTGATAGTTTGTACATAAAGTGTTTCATGACCTTGGTTTAATGCCCCACAGGGTGTCAGCATTCTCCCCAGTTCTGCCCTGGATTCCACGTTTCCTTTCATTTTGATTTTCTACCCTTTCCTGCCTTCTCATCTTTGCTTTTGGGCAGATATTGCCCTTTTGATGTCATATAATTTCTTGTTTTAGGGAGTATGTTCCTCTCTAGTGTTATCGTTTATTTTATGTGGTTGTCTATTGTTTATCTGGGGAGTGGTCTCTGGGAATGGCTTCAGTTCCTGGTCAGAAGGGTATTTTAAGGCCACAGTCTCGGGGTTCCTCCAGTGTCCGTCAGACCAGCAAGCCTGGTCCTTTTTGTGAATTTGATTTTTTTTTCTACAATTTTCTCCACTCTGTCCGGGATCGTCGGTTGTAATCCCAGTCAAAGCAGTTGGTAGTTGTAACCAGGCACCATCTAGTTCTTCTGGTCTCAGGGTCATGTAGGTTGTGGTTCATGTGATCCATTAGTCCTTTGGACTAATTGCTCCCTTCAGTCTTTGGTTTTCCTCACTCTCCTTTGCTCTGGATGGAAGAGACCAATAGTTGTGTCTCAGATGGTCGCTTGCAAGCTTTTAAGACCCCAGACACTACTCACCAAGTAGGATGCAGAACATTGTCTTTATGAACTATGTTGTGCCAATTAACATAGATGTACCCCGAGTCTATGGTCTTTTGTCTTCTAGCCTAGGAAATTCATCCTGTGAGGTGTTTGGTTATGTCTAAGAGCTTTCCCTGACTGTACCCCTGTGTGCTCTATATGAGCCACACCTACAGTCACGTATATAGAAATATCCATCACCAAACCTATATCTACCAGTGGGTGTGTTCCCATACACTCTCCCACACCTCTTGGCGTATCCATTCACAGATTATTGTTTGTTAACACTATTGTTAAGGCGCCCTGGTGGCACAGTGGTTAAAGTGATCAACAGCTAACTGAAAGGTTGGCGGTTTGAAACCACCAGCGGCTCCACGGGAGAAAAGATGTGGCATTCTGCTTCCGTAGAGATTTACAGCCTTGAAAACCCTGTGGGGTCACTATGAGTTGGAACTGACTCCATGGCAATGAGAACACTATTGTTGCAAGATTGTCTAAGCTATAGTAGTTACCGTAGTTGCCCTTTATTCTTGCATTCCTCCCAGTGTCCTCTCTTGCCTTTGTCATGTTGTGCTGACGCCGCCTCACATTATGTATTGCCTTTCCCTTCATCAATATTAACTCGTGTCTTCTACCTAATTGGTAATGTTCCCTTCCTCCCCTTCTCATGACACTGCTGTTTCTTCATCATCTTCTAGGCTGAGTATCCAGTGGAGGATCTTGCTGAGTACCAGGATGTTAATAAATAACAACAACAATGAAAAACAACAAGTGTTGTTGAGGCTGTGGAGAAATCAGAACCCTCATTCATTGTTGGTAGAAATGTAAAATGGTTTGGCCACTGTGGAAAACAGTTTTGGGGTTCCTCAAAAAAGTTAAACTTAGACTTACCGTATGACTCAGCAGTTTCGCTCCTAGGTATATACTCAAAAGAATCGAAAACAAGGACTCAAAGAAATACGTGTACCTGCATGTTCATAGCAGCACTGTTTCACAATAGCCAAAAGTTAGAAACAACCCAAATGTCCATGAATGGATGAATGGATAAATAAACTGTGGTATATACACATAATGGAATATTATTCATCAATAAAAAGGAATGAAGTACTAATACATTCTATAACTTGGATGAATCTCGAAAGCATTATGTTAAGTGAAAGAGGCCAGACACAAAAGGTCACATAATACATGATTCCATTTATATGAAGAATACAGAATAAGAAAGGCAAATGTGTAGAGGCCAAAGTTCATTAGTGGTTACCGTGGGTGGGAAGGAGGGAGAAAGGAAGAATCATTGTTTAGGAAGCATTCAGTGTCTGTTAACGGTGATGGAAAATTTGGCAATGTTATGGGTGATGGTTGCACATCATGGTTAATGTGTTCTTGCTGCTGTTAGTTGCCTTCTAGTGGCTCCCTCCCTACTCATGGGGACTCCATGCACAATGGAAGGAAATGCTGCCTGGTCCTGCACCCTACCCATAGTTGGTTGCACATTGGGCCATTGTGATTCATAGGGTTTTCATTGGGTGATTTTCAGAAGTAGATCACCAGGCCTTTCTTCCTAGTCCATCTTAGTCTGGAACTTTGCCAAAACCCGTTCAGTATCATAGTAACACACAAGCTTCCACTGAAGGACAGGTGGTGGCTGCACACGCATGAGGTGCATTGGCCAGGAACAGAGCCTTCATGGAAAGTGAGAATTCTACCACTGAACCACCAATGCTATGATTAATGTAATCAATGTGAAAAACAACAACAACAAAAAAAGTTTTGAAAGTAGATAGTGGTGATGATTACACAACATTGTGAATGTAACTAATGCCACTGAATTCTGAGCTGTACGTTTAAAAGTGGTTAAAATGGCAAATTTTATCACAAGAAATTAAAAAAAAAGGGGGTAGGAAAGTAAAAAAAAAAAAAAAAGAGAGAGAGAAGTATCCAGAATAGGCAAATCCATAGAGACAGAAAGTATATTGGTAGTTGCTAGCGGCTGGGGAGAGGGGGAGTAACTATTTAATGGGTACAGGATCTCCTTTTGGGGTGATAAAAATGTTTTGGAACTAGATGGAGGCGGTGGTTGCACAATTTGTGAATGTACTAAAGTCCACTGAATTTTTTATTTTAAAATGGTTATTTATTTATTTGTTATTTCATCTCAAACAAACAAACACCCAAAAAAGGTCCATCTAAGTTAGCAGCGTCTGGCTGGGGTGCGAGCCCTTTAAGAGTCGTATCAAAGCGGGGCGGAGCTAGAGGGTCAGACGTGTAGGAACCACGTGAGGCAGTGGCTGGGCAGGGAAAATGGCGGCTTCAGGAGAGAGCGGGACTTCAGGCGGCGGAGGCGGCACAGAGGAAGCGTTTATGACCTTCTACAGTGAGGTGAGTTCGTGATACAGGAATCCTGGCGTCGCGGCGACCCCGCGCGGGCCTAGTCTGTCGGCGGGCGAAGGCAGTGGGCCGCCTGGCCTGGGCCGTTGGGCGGTTCCTCCTGTCCGGCCGTCGCGGCGGCAAGCGACTGAGGGTGCGTGTGTGTTTCCCTTGATAGCTGCTGGGGGATCCCGGAGCAATGAAAGCGGGGTCAGGGTCTGACGTAAGGATGGAGAAGGCGAGTGAGGCCAACAAAGTGCCTGGGGCCGCGCAGGGTATCCGAGGTGCACGAAGTCAGGGGCGGCAGAGCCTGGGCCTCCCTGGGGGTGACTTAGCTGTCTTGGCCCCATTTTTATTCTAAACAGAAGTGATGTCTTCTTTTAGTCTTCTGTAATGAATTGTATTAGTGGTTATTGCTGCCATTCACGAACGCCAGGCACTGTGCATCATGCCAAGGAGGGATTATCCCCATTTTTCAGATGACGAACCTGAGGTTTAGGGTGGTTGAAGTTATTAGTTCGGGGTCTCAAAACAGATAACAGCTTGGTATCATATTAAGGCCGGAGTAAGCTTGGCCTTAGCCATGTTTGTTATCGCATCCCCAGCTCCTAGTACACAGTTAAAAAAAAAAGCCCCAGAAAACCAAACCAGTTGCTGTTGAGCAGATTCTGACTCATAGCGACCCTACAGGACAGGGTAGAACTGCCCCACAGGATTTCCCAGGAGCGTCTGGTGGATTCGAACTGCCGATCTTTTGGTTAGGAGCCGTAGCTGTTAACCACTGCGCCACCAGGGTTTCCAAGTACATAGTAGATATACAGTAATATTTGTTGAGTAAATGAATGAATGAATAAATGAAAGAAAAGCATGCCATTTGGAGCCAGAAGACCCTAGGCAGTTAACTTGACTGGGAGTGAATTCTTTTAAGGCATTAATTTGGCAGAGGCATTAATTTTGCAGATCTGTAATTTCCACGTCAGTGAAATGAGAGGGTTCACATTAAAACGAGTTTTTTTTGTGATTGAAGGAGTTAATAATAAGAAAGGATTTCATAAAACATAAAGCATAAACACCTTTCTCAGAGTTAAGACTGGAGATGGGACCTCTTTTAAGTTAGAGTGAATTTGAGTAATAGAGTTGCTCCCCATTAGCTGTGAGCTACTGAAAGTTGCAACCATGTCACATTCATCTTTATTTATAGCGTTTTTAACAGTGAGTGTTACATAGTGGGTTCTCCAAAGGATTACTTTATTTTAAAATGGAAAGTAACACATGCTCTACAGTCTGTCTTTTTAAAATGCTTAATTCACCTGAAAGTGTTAATGCCTTGGTATCAAAGTTTATTGGCCTCTGATGACCCAAAAGACCTCTTAAAAGTGTTAAAAAAAAGGGGAAAGATGGTATTTTGAGGTCTAAGATGTGCCTCTCTCAAGCTATGGTATTTTCAGTCGCCTTATATGCATGTGGAAGCTGGACAGTGAATAAGGAAGATCAAAGAATTGGTGACTTTAAATTATGGTGTTGGTGAAGAATACCGAATATTCCTTGGACTGCCAGAAGAATGAACAAATCTATCTTGCAAGCAGTATAGCCAGAATGCTCCTTGGAAGCAAGTATGGCAAGACTTCCTCTCACATACTTTGGACATGTTATCAGGAGGGACCAGTCCTTGGAGAAGGACATCATGCTTGGTAGAGGGTCATGGATAAAGAGGAAGACCCTCAATGAGATGGCTTGACACAGTGGCTGCAACAGTGGGCTCAAACATAGCAACGATTGTGAGGATGGTGCAGGGCCAGGGAGTGTTTTTGTTCTGTTGTGCATGGGTTCACTGTGAGTTGGAACCGACTCATAGCACTTAACAACAGCAACAGCAGTGGCACTTGTTTCACTTACCATCTCTTAGTTAAGCCAAAAAAAAAAAAAAAATTGCAACCCTGGTTTATGTGAAGGAAGCCCTGATGGTGTAGTGGTTAAGTGCTCTGCTGCTAACTGAAAGGTCTGCAGTTTTGAACCCACCAGTTGCTCCGCAGGATAAAGATAAGGCAGTCTGCTTCTGTAAAGATTACAGCTTTGGTTTCTATGGGGCAGTTCTACTCTGTCCTATACTGCTGCTATGAATCGGAATTGACTCAGTGGCAGTGGGTTTGGTTTTAGGGGTTTGTGTGAATTAGATGGGAGAAAGTACCTAAAGGAGGACACTTTATCATTTAACCAATGTTTATCATGTACCTGACATAGTACTAGGTACTGTTTAGGTGCTGGGGATATGGTAGTAAACAACAGAGAAAAATACTTGTCTTCATAGAGCTTACATTCTGTAGAGGAGGATAAACAATGAAGAAATATGTAATATAGTGTTAGGCAGTGATAAGTGCTATGAGGAAAAATAAGTCAGTGGGGGAGTGGTTATGCTATTTTAGAAAGAATGAAGATGCTGAGAAGGAATGGCTTTTTATGTTACTGAATTTCTTTCCAACCCCGTTTTGGCCATAGGAATAAAGATGGTATACCAGAGATTCATTTCAAGTAGCATTCAACTCTGACAGTGGCACCAAGGATGTTTTCCTGGAACTACCTGGTGTTTGTTCTCCTTAGCATTGTCTTCAGGTCAGGGATTTTTCTAATTTTCATAAAGTTATTAGGTAGGCAGAGTTCATTGCTCCCCCCCATGACCCTTTTTTATATGTTGCTTTTAGCACATAGTTTAGTGTAACTGTATTTTTCTTTTCTTAAAATAAAATGTTGTAAATGGAGTATAACCACACACAAGTACGTCTTCCATCATTAGACTGGAAACTTTTTGAAGGGGAGGGCTGTGAGTTATTTCTATTTGAATCCTTTTGATGCCGGCTCTGGAATCAAACTGCTTAGGTTAACATTCTGGCTTACAAATTGGGTAATTGGGAGCAAGTCACTTAACCCTGTAACCCTCTGTTTTCTTATCTGCAAACTGGGGATAATAGTAACATCTACCTTATAGGATTATTGGGAAGAATAAATACACATAGAGTTTTTACATCATTGAAGTTTAATAAATGGTAGCTGTTGTAATTATTCCCCAAAGGTGTTAGCAAAATATCTTGCACACTGTAAACACTCAAATAAATGTTTGCTGAACATGTGAATGAATAATGTGTTAAGATAGATAATTCAGAGTTTATTATTGAATTTTACTAATGAAATTTTTATCTGCTTTATTTTAGGTGAAACAAATAGAGAAGAGAGATTCGGTTCTAACATCCAAAAATCAGATTGAAAGATTGACCCGTCCTGGTTCCTCCTACTTCAATTTGAACCCATTTGAGGTTAGTTGACTGATATTGCTGTGGCCTCTGTGATGGGGAGCTTTGAATATCTGCAGACAGATTTACATCAGAACACACATCTAATTTGTATCATAGTTGGCACGGAGAAAAGTGGTGATGTAAAGTGACAGTATATAGAGTATGGAGGTTAACTTTGAATTTGGGTGGTTTTATTGTGAGCAGAGCTTGAGAGAGACAGCATGCTAAGGAAAATGAGATGGTTTTTGCTCTGTCAAATGTTCTCCATCTTTTAGCCACCCAAATATGTGTGAATTTATTTTCATACGTGAAGAGGTAGCTAAACGAAAACCAAACCCGTTGCCATCAGGTTGATGCTGACTGATAGTGACCCTATAGGACAGAGTAAAACTGCCGCATAGGGTTTCTAAGGCTTTAATCTTTACGGAAGCAGTCTGCCACATCTTTCTCCCTTGGAGCTGCTGGTGGGTTCAAACTGCTGACCTTTCGATTAGCAGTCAAGTGCTTAACCACTGCACCACCAGGGCTTCTTGAAGAGGTAGCTACCCCCTGATAAATATAGGATCTTTGGTTTAAACCACTTGTAAAAACTTTTTTTTTTTTTTTTTTTTTTTTGGGTTTCTGTTTTTTGAAGACTAATTTTTGAAGAATTTTTTCGTTTTGAAACAGTTTAGATTTATAGAAAATTTGCAAGTAGAGTATGAAGGCTTCTTTTTTTCTGAACTCTTTGAGAGTAAGTTGTCAACATGATGAACCATCACCCGGAAATATTTCAGTATGTTTTTACTGCAAATGAGAACATTCACCTACAGAACCAGAATATAACCATCAAAACCAGGAAATAAGCAGTGGTACACTGTTACTATCTAATTCAAAGAACCCATTCAGGGTTTACTGATTGTTCCAGTAAGGTCTTTCTCCAAAAGGATCCAGTCCAGAATCTCTTGTTACATTTAGTTGTGTGTCTTTAGTCTCCTTCAGTCTGGAACGGTTTCTCAGTCTTTCCTGGACTTTCATGACCTTGACACTTCTGAAGATTACAGATCCGTTATTTTGAGACTGTTTCTCAACGTTCTAGGTTTGTCTGAATGTTTCCTCATATTAAATTCAGTTTATGCATTGTTGGCAAGAATATCACACAAGTGATGCTGTGTTCTTCTTTTTCCAGTGTATAAGGTAGTACATGATTTTGATTTATCCTATTACTAATGATGTTGATCACTTAAAGAGGTGTCTGCTAGATTTCTCTGTAAAGCTATCCCTCCCTTTTTGTAATTAATAAGTTTTTATGGGGAGCTACTTTGAGGCTGTGTAAATACCATGTTCCTCATCAAACTTTCAGTTTACTCATTTATTTGTCAGTATGAATGTATGGTTTCCTGTTTTATTCAATCCGCTACTCATCTGTCAGTTGTACTGTGGTGGCTTGCGTGTTGCTGTGATGCTGGAAGTTATGCCACCAGTATTTCAAATACAAGCAGGGTCACCCATGGTGGACAGGCTTCAGCGGAGCTTCCACACTAAGACAGACTAGGAAGAAGGACCTGGCAGTCAACTTCTGAAAAAATTGGCCAGTGAAAACCTTATGAATAGTAGTGGAACATTGTCTGATATGGTGCTGGAAGATGAGCCCCTCAGGTTGGAAGGCACTCAAAATACAACTAGGGAAGAACTGCCTCCTGAAAGTAGAGTCGACCATAATGACATGGTTGGACTAAAGCTTTCAGGACCTTCATTTGCTGATGTAGCACGTCTCAAAATGAGAAGAAACAGCTTCAAACACCCATTAGTAATCAGAACGTGGAAAGTATGAAGTATGAATCTAGGAAAATTGGAAATTGTCAAAAATGAAATGGACCGCATAAACATCGATATCCTAGGCATGAGTGAGCTGAAATGAACCTGTATTGGCCATTTTGAATCATATGGTCTTACTTGTACACGTATGGATATTATCCTATCACTGACAGCATTGTACTTCAGGATAGATCTTGAAATGTTTTTTTTGACAATGCATGCAACACCATTCGTCTGAATTTGTCATTCCCAGCATAGCAGACCCTATGGTTGTCTGATTCAAAATGGCCAATATCAGTCCATTTCAGCTCACTAATGCCTAGGATATCGATCTTTATACATTCCATTTCATTTTTGATGACTTTCAATTTTCCTAGATTCATACTTTGTACATTCCATGTTCCATTATTAATGAATGTTTGCAGCTGATTCTTCTTATTTTTGAGTCATGCCATATCAGCAAATGAGGGTCCCAAAAGCTTGACTCCATCCATGTCATTAAGGTGGACTATACTTTGAGAAGGCAGCTCTTCCCTGTCGTATTTTGAGTGCCTTCCAACCTGAAGGGCTCATCTTCCAGCACTATATCAGACAATGATCTGCTGCTATTCATAAGGTTTTACTGGCTAATTCTTTTCAGAAGTAGACCGACAGGTCCTTTTTCATAGTCTGTCTTACTCTGGAAGCTCAGCTGCAACTTGTCCACCCCGCTGGTATTTGAATACCAGTGGCATAGCTTCTAGCATCACAGCAACATGAAAGTCCCCACAGTGTGACAAACTGACAGACGCATGGGGTCTACTATGCTGGGAATGAGAAATTGAAGAGGAATATGTTGTAGTCATCGTCAAAAAGAACATTTCAGGATCTATCCTGAAATACAGTGCTGTCAGTGGTAGGATAATATCTATACACCTACAAGGAAGACCAGTTAACACGGCTGTTATTCAAATTTACACACCAACCACTAAGGCCAAAGATGAAGAAACTGAAGATTTTTACCAACTTCTGCAGTCTGAAATTGATGGAACACGCAATCAGGATGCCTTGATAATCACTGGTGGTTGGCATGGAAAAGTTGGAAACAAAGAAGAATCGGTAGTTGGAAAATATGGTCTTGGTGACAGATGCTGGAAATCTCATGATAGAATTTTTCAAGACCAGTGACTTCTTCATTGCAAATAACTTTTTTCAGCAACATAAACGGCGACTATACATGCGGACTTTGCTGGGTGGAATACACGGGAATCAAGTATATCTGTGGAAAGAGACGATGGAGAAGCTCAGTATCATCAGTCAGAACAAGACCAGGGGCTAACTGTGGAACAGACCATCAGTTGCTCATAGGCAAGTTTAAGTTGAAGCTGAAGAAAATTAGAACAAGTCCACGAGAGCCAAAGTACAACCTTGAGTATATCCCACCTGAATTTAGAGACCATCTCAAGAATAGATTTGTCGCATTGGACACTAATGACCAAAGACCAGACGAGTTGTGGAAGGACATCATACATGAAGAAAGCAAGATGTCATTAAAAAGACAGGAAAGAAAGAAGAGACCAAAATGGATGTCAGAAGAGACACTGCAAGTTGCTATTGAACATCGATTCTCTAAGCGAACAGAAAAAATGATGAAGTAAAAGAGCTGAACAGAAGATTTCAAAGGGTGGCTCGAAAAGACAAAGTAAAGTGTCATAATGACATGTGCAAAGACCTGGAGTTAGAAAACCAGAAGGGAAGAATGCGCTCGGCATTTCTCAAGCTGAAAGAACAGAAGAAAAAATTCAAGCCTTGAGTTGCAATTTTGAAGGATTCTATGGTCACAATATTGAGTGATGCAGGAAGTATCAAAAGTAGATGGAAGGAATATACAGAGTCACTGTACCAAAAAGAATTGGTCAATGTCTAACCATTTCAGAAGGTAGCATATGTTCAAGAACTGGTAGTATTGAAGGAAGAAGTCCAAGCTGCACTGAAGACATTGGTGAAATACAAGGCTCCAGGAATTTATGGAATACCTCTTGAGATGTTTCAACAAATGGATGCAGCACTGGAAGTGCTCACTTGTCTACGCCAAGAAATTTGGAAGACAGCTACCTGGCCAGCTGACTGGAAGAAATCCACATTTATGCCCATTCCAAAGAAAGGTGATCCAACAGAATGGGGAAATTATCAAACAATATCATTAATATCACATGCAAGTAAAATTTTGCTGAAGATAAATCAGAAGTGGTTGCAGCAATACTTCAACTGGGAACTGCCTGAAATTTAAGCCAAATTCAGAAGAGGACATGGAACAAAGGATATCAATCCTGATGCCAGATGCATCTTGTCTGAAAATAGAGAATACCAGAAAGATGTTTACCTGTTTTTTATTGACTATGCAAAGGCATTCGACTGTGTGGGTCATAACAAATTATGGGTAACATTGCAAAGAATGAGAATTCCAAAACACTTAATTGTGCTCCTGAATAACCTGTACATAGACCAAGAAAACGGTCCTTTGAACAGAACAAGAGGGTACTGTGTGTTTAAAATCACGAAAGGTGTGTGTGTCAGGGTTGTATCCTTTGATCATACGTATTCAGTCTGTATGCTGAGCAAATAATCTGAGAAGCTGGACTGTATGAAGAAGAATGTGGTATCAGGATTGGAGAAAGATTCATTAACAACCTGTAATAAACACGTGACACAACCTTGCCTGCTGAAAGCAAGAGGACTTGAAGCACTTACTGTTGAAGATCAAAGACTACACCTTAACATAAAGTAAACAAAAATCCTCACAACTGGACCAATAAGCAACATCATGATAAAGGGAGATAAGATTGAAGTTGTCAAGGATTTTGTCTTACTTGGATACACAGTCAACACCTATGGAAGCGGCAGTCAGGAAATCAAAGGACGTATTGCAGTGGGCAGATCTACTGCAAAAGACCTCTTTAAAGTGTTAAAAAGTAAAGATGTCACTTTGAGGACTAAGATGTGCCTCTGTCAAGCCATGATATTTTAGATCGCCTCATATGCATGCGAAAGTTGGACAATGAATAAGGAAGACTGAAGAAGAATTGATGCCTTTGAATTAGGTGTTGGTGAAGAATATTGAACATACCGTGGACTACGAACAAATCTGTCTTGGAAGAAGTATAGCCAGAATACTCCTTAGAAGGGAGGATGGCAAGACTTTGGCTCAGATGCTTTGGACGTGTTAACAGGAGGGACCAGTCCTGGAGAAGGACATCATGCTTGGCAAAGCAAAGGATCCGAGAAAAAGAAAGACTCTCAGTGAGGTGGATTGACACAGTGGCTGCAACAATGGTGTTATACATAGCAACGATATTGTGAGGTTGGTGCAGGACTGGGCAGTGTTTTGTTCTGTCGTTCATGGGGTCACTGTGAGTCGCAACTGACTTGACGGCGTGTAACAACATTTTATTCAATAGATTATATTTCATTATTATTTATCTTGATGTAGACATTGTCCCACATTTCACCAGTGGATTACCTTTCAAGCTGGTTCCTGTGTCTTTCTGACATGTCTTCATCATTCTTTGAATAATAGGCAGTTTTCCTGACCCAGCCTGGAATCAGCTGTTTCACCAAGGAGCTTGGTTTCTTTCAGTGGAGAATGGTACATAGAAACCAAGATCTAGCTCTTTTGTATTTTACGTAACCCTACTTGGAATTAACTGTTTTATCAAGAAGCCCTGATTGCTTTTATTTAAGAAAGGTATATAGAAATCAAGATTTTGGTGTAAGGTAGACTCATTGCTATTCGGGTGTCACTGCTCCCAGGCCCTATTGATGGAGAAAATTTAGGAATGCTTGTGTATCCAATTTCAGTCCAACACCACAGTTTATTCTAGTTTTCTTTTCCGTGTTTGTAACTCCCTTCTCTTATAGGGAGAAATCTGGCTTTCATTATCGTTAATGGATTTATTTACTTGATCAATTGCCATTTTGCAGCCCTTCTCCTGGTGCCACTGCTTCCCTTATGTGAATACCCTCCTTACCTCATTTTACTCTGACATTCCACATCAGGCTGTTCCACTGTGTAGAAACTTCCTACCATGCCTGGACTAAAAACCGCCATGTCAGGCCACCCCTCTATGTGAGTACTTTCCTCAGCTTGTTCAGCTCCAGCTCCCTGCCCTGCCTTCTACCCCCTCGATGCTGTCCTGTCCTTCTTGAGCTCCAGCATTCCCCACTGATCCTTCCCATTAGGTAGGTGTCCTCCTTACCCTGCTCTGGCTTTGACACTCTGTATTGGCTGCCTTCCTCCATGGAGGCCTTCCTCATCTTACTTGGGCTCTGACTCCACACTCCAGGTCACCTCCCTGTGTAGAAGACCTCTACACTCTGCTTAGGTTCCAGTTCCTTCGCCTGGCCATATTTCCACACAAATGGTCTCTCCACCCTGCTTGTGCTCCAACACCTTTCTTTAGGTTGCACACCTATATTGGACACCTTCCTACGTGTGCACCCTTTTCACCATGCTTAGGCTTTCACAACCGTGCTAGGCTGCTCTTTTGTGGGGATGTCCTTTTTGCCTTGCTTGGGTTTCTATACCCTGTGCCAGGCCACCTTCCCTTGAGGACACACCCCTTACTGTGCTGTGCTGCGCTTCCATGGGGATGCCTTCTTCATCCCTCTGGGCTCTGACACCCTGCACCAGGTTTCCCTCCCATGTTGACATCCTCACCCTGCTTAGGTTCCAACACCCTGTGCTAGGTACCTGTCCACGTGGATGCCTTCCTCAACTCAATTTGGCACCCCATGTCAGGTGGTTCTCCTTCCTATATGGAAGGCACCCTAGTTGGGCTCTAGCATCCTTTAGCTACCCACCATTCACCTGTGGCCACCTTCTTCTTTGTCCCAGTTGGGCTCTGACACTGTGCTCTTGACCATCTCAACTCCCTACCCAGAGTGGATGTCTGCTTTGTTAAAGAATCTGATGGTATGCTTTTTCTATTTAGCCATACTTTTAAACTGAGCATAGTGCCGGGAAGAAGGGACATGATCGTATAACTTACCTTTGTTTTCCATTTTTTAAGGTAATTGGTGCCTCCTGTGGAGATCTGATTGACAAGAAATGACAGATTTTGGGGGACCAGTGTGAAGGCTAGAATTCTCATGCCCTACTAGTTAATGTGGTTCTGGAAGTGAAACTCTGCCTCGTACCTCCTGTCCTGACCATAGGAAGTGTGTTTGAATATGTGAAGATATGGTGAGGTTGGCACACCCAGGAGGGTGAGAGGCTGTTTGAGTGGGCAGAAGTCCATGACCGTCCATTAGAACCTTTTTTCTTTTCTGTTTCATACAGGTGTGCCAGCTGTATTATAGGTGTAGATGTCATTGTCTTACAAAGAGGTTTGGGCCATAGGTGTAGGCCCATTGTCTTCACTGTGTTTCATGGTCACATGTGGCACCCCCAACTCTTTAAAAGATTGAAAAGGGGTTGGATTAGCTTTGAAGCCACTCTGAATATTTGTTGCCAATGATCAGTTTATATCTGATATAACTCTTGGAAAAATAACTTTTGTGGTGGGTATGTTTTCATATCCTCTTCCTTTTTGCCAGATTATTTGAAAGTAGATCTATTATGCCTAAATACTTTAGCGTGCATCTCCCCAAAGCAAGAACACTCTTCCATATAACCATAACACCATTACCACACCAGGAAAAACATTAATTCAATGACCTCATCCATTATACAGTCCACAGCAAACAATCCCAGTTGTCCCCAAAATCTCATTTATAGCTGTTTTATTTTTTAAATTCAGGATCCAGTCAGGTTTATGAATTACATTTGACATCATCATTTGTTCTAAGCTGTAGCTTTATTGGAGACTTTTTTGTGAACATGGGAGGATTTCCAGCTTTTCTCATTCATTTTGGATACCTTTAGAGTTTATTGGAGCCCTTGTGGCGCAGTGGTTAGGAGCTATGGCTGCTAACCAAAAGGTCGGCAGTTCGAATCCACCAGCTGCTCCTTGGAAATCCTGTAGGGCAGTTCTGCTGTGCCCTGTTGGGTCACTATGAGTCAGAATTGACTTGATGGCAATGGGTTTTTTTGTTTTGGAGTTTGTTGGACTTTGGTTTGCTTCAATAGATTCTTTTTTCCCAGAACCAGTTGTTCTGTGTATATTTTTGTATGCATATAGTTACCTCCTCTTACCTGTAAATCTTTTTTTTTTTTTTAATTTTGTTGTTGAGAATAGACACAGGAAAACATACACCAGTTCTACCATTTCTACATGTACAGTTCAGTGACTGATTACATTCTTGCAGTTGTATAACCATTCCCACTCTCCTTTTCTGAGTTGTTCCTCCCCTATTAACATAAACTCACTGCCCTCCTAGGGTTTCTCATCTGTAAATCTTACATGGCTTCACTCTTCCTCTTGACTGACTCTTTCTCAGTTTCTTTCTCCCTTGGGAGAAGGTATGAAGAGGTGCACTGACTCTTGAAAATTCTTTGGTTTAAGGTGATTGTTCCTCCTCCTCCCTCACTCCTGATTGTATGCCTGCCATTTGAGAATGGGTATGCTCCTGTCATAATCTCCAAAAGTCTATGGAAAGCAGCAGTGATTCTCCTTCATTGCCTACCAATTACTGCTGTAGGTGACCTGTTTGAACATTTTGAAAGCTTGCTATAAATCTTGACAGTACTTCTTACCAGGTTTTTCTGGGACCCTATAAGCATGTGACTAAACCTGGAGATAAAACTTTTTAATTTTTATTTCTCTGGTTGCAAGACTTATCTTTAATTTTTTTCCCTTTACTCCCCTTAATAACTGATCCTCAGTTCTACTATCTTTGGAATGCACTTATTTCTAACCTCTATCATTCCTTACTAGTGGTTCTCAGACTGCAGTGTGCATACAACTCAGAATGTTGATTCTGCTTCTGTGGAAATGAAGTGGGGCCTGCTCTTCTGTAATTCAAATAAATCCTTCTCAGCCTTTACCCTTTCAGCACTTTACTTTGCCTTGTATACCAAATAAACAATAGATGTATGTTGAATCATTTGACTGCATATGATATCATCTGCTTAATTATTTCTTATAATTCTCTTCCTTAAAAAGCACTTATTATATGATAATTAAAAAAAATAGGTTTCCCTTATAAATTTTGCATTTCTAGTACATAGCATGTTCAGCAGGTAGTAGTCACTGTAAAAATGTTTGATGAATGAATGAATGTATTTGTGGTGATAGGAATAGACTCCTTGTCGAAGAATGTCTACACCAAGATATCCAGTGTTGAAGAAGAATCATTAAATTTACTTGTTTAAAACAGAATTACTCAAAAAATACAGATGTTCCTGCCATATGACCCTATCCCAGCTCTGCTGAGTTGGAATCAGTCTTCCCTAGAGTGGGCCCCAGGAATTGTTCTCAGGTTTCCACAGGTGATTGTGATATTCACTCTGGGTTGAGTACCATTGGACTCTGTAAATTATAAAGTGGAGCCAAGTGTGTGTTTCTGGATTGAGATGAAAATCTGGTAGCCAGCCTAATTTTTTTTTCTTTGTTGAGTTGTTATGCTTTCTTCACATTTGCCAAGGTAAGTGGGGGAAACTTTGCGTAATGAATGAAGGAGAAATGCAACATCTTCTCATGGTGTGGAAAGGTGTAGGAAAATGATTACTTTTCTGATAGAGTAAAAATAAGCATTGTATTAATTGGGAACCCTAGCACAATATAGCTATTATTCCCTGTTATTGATTGCTTATTCATATTTTTTTAAGTAATTTTTAGAACTCTATGCCAGTCACTGTTCTAGAACACTGGGTACTGTTCTAGATGCTGTTTATAGTATGTATAAATTATTGGGCACCTCTTAAATTTATAAGCTCTTTTTATGTCTTTTACAGTTTTGATTTTGATTTCTTCCAGGTTCTTCAGATAGATCCTGAAGTGACAGATGAGGAAATAAAAAAGAGGTTTCGGCAGGTACAGTATTAATTCCCTGTAATAGATAGAGTTGAATGTTTTGAAATGTATTAAGCGTATGATTCTCTTGGGACTTGATGCTTTGGGGCTAAAATTTAACTTTTTTTATTTTTTGTAACTTAAGGCGTAGGTAACTGTTCTTTAAAAAAAGAAAACAGTGATTTAAGATCTTAAATAACTTAATGACCATAGCTTACCTGTGAATAGAATGAATTTTATATCCAAATAGAATCTCTCCAGCCCCTTAAGTAAGAGGGAGAAGTACAGGGTAGAGTAGTAGAGCTGGCAGGAAGTCATACTTACCAACTGTTGCTTCCAAGAGAGAACCTATGAAAGGATTCATGACAGTTTTTTATCTTTAGCACCTCATCCCTCAATAATTTTATCTTTTGCTGACTTAAATGATTACCCATGAAGTACCTCATTTAATATAGAGTGTTGTTTTGAAAGTTCTCTAGGAAAGGAGATCCACAAACTCTGATTCTTGCCTATTCTGATATTTAATAAGTTGAGTCAAAAGTTTTATAAGAACCTTTTTTAACAACCCTTCCAGGTTTGATAGCTGAGTAACCACTAGCGTTTTCTTCAATGAGTTGAGTAGTCACAGTCCCTATAGTCTGTTTTTGCAATTTGCATTTTTTTCGCTCTCCCCAATTTCTGTGTATCTTTTTTGCGCTTCATATTTTAATAGGGTCTGACCAGTGCTGAATATAATTCTCAGCTCCTGCATGACATACTTGTTAGTATCCGGGTTATGCTTTCTTCTTCAATACAGTAATTGCCCCCACATTACTGACTCATATTCATCTTCTGATCTGCTGTTAAGCCAACATGTTTTTTATCTTTGCCTACTCAGTCATTTCCCATTATATAACTTTATAGCCTTTTTTCTTCCTGAGTTCTGCTCTGCACTTATGTTCAGCTTTTTTCCTTTTTCTAAAATTTCATGTTTCCTAATATAATGCATTAGCAGTCTTTCCTAATTTAATAAGCAAGCATTCAAGTCCATAGTCAAAACAACTTTTTATGTAACTACATAAAGGACTCAGTAAAGGTTCTTACTGAATCACTATATATGACCTAATGGTTAAGAGTATGGGCATTGAAACTAAACCTTGGTTGTACCACTTACAAGCAGTGTGAGCTTGGGCAGGTTACTTTCAGCCTGTCTGTGCCTGTTTCCTCATCTGTAAAATACACATAATAATGGGGCCTACTCCAGGGGGTTGTTAAAAGCATTAAGTGAGGTCATATGCCTAAGCACTTAGAATAGGTCTTGGCACATAGTATATCGTCAGTATATGCTGTCTGTTTGTGATTGTGTGTTAGACACTGTGCTAAGTTCTTTACTTGCATTATCTCATTTAATCCTTATAACAATCCAATGAGATGTAGGTATCTATTATTGTCCCATTTATAGAGGAGAAAACTGAGGTAGAGATGGGCAAAGTGAATTGTTTAAGGTCTTGTAGCTAGTAAGTAATGGAAGTTGAAATTAGAACCGTGGATTCTGGCTTCAGTAATGCTGGCCTTATCATTAGGTTTCCACTTGAGCTGTCATCTGCTAACACTGTTCCCTCTGTTCCAGTTGGTTGGTTTCTGTCTGCCAGTGACCGTAGATCCGATCCGTGGTTCTTAACCCTGGCTGTGGGAAAGAAGAAATCACCTGTGAAGCTTTTTTTTTAACCTTTTTATTATGGAAATCCTTTTTTACATTTAAAAAAGAAAGAATAGAAAAATAAACACCCGTATTATCCACCACCTGTATGCAACAGTTTGCTTCATTAACTATATATTTTTGGGGAAATCGTTGTAAATTATGGTCTCCGTGACACTTTACCTCTAAATACTTCAGCATGAAGGGGCTTTGGTGGCGCAATGGTTAAGTGCTCAGCGCCTAACCAAAAGGTTAATGGCTCGAATCCCCCAGCAGCTCAGTGGGAGAAAGACCTGGCAATCTGATCCTGTAAAGATTACAGCCTAGGAAACCCTATGTGGCAGTTCTGTTGTTTTCTATAGGGTCACTATGAGTCGGAATAGACTCAATGGCCACAGCAACAACACTTTAGCATGTATCCCCTCAAAAGATGTTTTCTTGCATAACAGTTTATCCCACGTAACAAAATTAACAATAATCTCTTACTATCATCTGATACCCAGTCTAGTAGAGGTTTAAAAAATGCAGATGCCAGAGACTGATTCAGCTGGTCAGAGGATAGAAAGTAGACCTCTTTTTTTTTTTTTTTTTCCCTCAATTGTGCTTTAGGTGAAAGTTTACAGAGCAAATTAGTTTCTCATTCAAAAATTTATACAAAATTGTTTCATGACATTGGTTGCATTCCCCACAATGTGTCAGCACTCTTCCCCTTTCCATCCTGGGTTCCCTGTTTCCATTCGTCCGTTTTCCTGTACCTTCCCACCTTTGCTTTTGGGCATATGTTGCCCATTGGGCTCATGTATTTGATTGATCAAAAAGCACGGTCCTCAACGTGTGTTATTGTTTGTTTTATAGGACTGTCTAATCTTTGGCTGAAAGGTGAACTTCAGGAATGGCTTCATTTCTGAGTTAGCAGGGTGTCTGGGGGCCCTGGTCTCAGGGGTTCCTCCAGTCTCTGTCAAACCAGTGAATTTGAATTTTGTTCTACATTTTTCTCCTGATCTGTCGAGGACCCTCTATTGTGACCTTCTGGACTCAGGCTGGTGGAGGCTGTGACTAATATTTTCCTTGTGTTTCTGGTTTTCTTCATTATCCTTTGCTCTGGATGGGATGAGACCAATAGATGTATCTTAGATGGCCACTCACAAGCTTTTAAGACCCCAGACACTACTAACCAAAGTCAAATGTAGAACGTTTTCTTTATAAACTGTGTTATGCCAGTTGACCTAGATATTCCCTAAGACCACGGTCCTCAGCCCTCAACCCCAGTAACTTGGTCCCTAAAGGTGTTTGGATTTGTCTAGGAAGCTTCTATGACTGTGCCCCCTTTGTGTTCTGTTATATATATGAGTATACGTGCTGTACATACAAATATGTATGTAAAAATATCCATAGTCTAACCCATATATGTACGTGGATATACTCCTATATGCCCTCCTGCCCCTATTCGGCATACGTATCTGTCTGTGTATCTGATTGTAAGTTATTGTTTGTTTTTACCGTTGTTGTAGGATTGTATATGTTGTATATACTGTGGTTGCCTTTTTTTTTCCCCTTGTGTTCCTCTGAGTGTCTTCCTTTGCCTGGTCAGGTTATGCTGACTTCCCCCTATATGGTGTATTGTCTTTCTCTTCACCAAAGTTAACACTTGTCTACCATCTAGTTAGTGATTTCCCCTTCCCACTCCTCCCCTCCCTGGTAATGATCAAAGATTGTTTCTTTCTGTGTGTAAACCTTTTCTTGACTTTTTATAATAGTGGTCTCATACAATATTTGTCCGTTTGTGATTGGCTTATTTCACTCAGCATAATGTCCTCCAGGTTCATCCGTGTTGTGAGATGTCCTGTGGATTCATCATTCATCTTTATCATTACGTGACCTCTCTCTCTCTCTTTTTTTTTTTATTGTACTTCAGGTGAAGGTTTATAGAACAAATAGTTTCTCATGAAGCAGTAGTACACATATTGTTCCATGACATTGGTCAGCAACCCCACAACATGTCAGCTCTCTCCCTTTTCGACCCTCCCTTCCATGACCTCCATATTTTTCAAAAGCTTCGCAGGTTTGGAGCACAGCCAGAACCACTGCTTTATTTTAGAAGTTCTTCTAGGAAAGAAATGATGTCTCAGACCTGGTTTATACCCTTTAGTGCTAGAATAAGGAACATAATAGGAAAGCAGTACTTTTCAACCCCTGCTCCCCCAAATTATCACAATGTCCTCATAATGCTAGGCTTCCGATTATTCTCAGCTTTGTCATTGAAACCCTAAATGTTTCCCAGTTTTGCATTTACCTTTTGGAACTTGAATTTTGTTAAAGACCAGTATTTTTGTGCATAAGATTTACTGATTTTTTAAAAAATGCTTCTAGCTAAGATAGTCTTTTTTCCCTGGAGTACCCAGAGTACTTGGTTGTAAGGAGACACAGTGTAGGTCAGAAGTTACTAACTGTTCTTCTTTGTGACAAACCTAACTTTTTTCTTATTGTAGTTATCTATATTGGTGCATCCTGATAAAAATCAAGATGATGCTGACAGAGCACAAAAGGCTTTTGAAGGTATTTGTACATTTACCTGCTTCTGAGTAATATATTCTCAATGCTCGAGACTGTCTCTTGTCTGAGTCAAGAAAGGAATGTTCTAGTTTTGTCTTCTGGTCATAAAGAGGCTGTGGTTTTCAGTAGAACAGTTGTCATTCCAAAGCAGAATGTTGCTGTTTAAGAAGTAGATCTTAACTTTGCTGTGTAAAACTTTTATATGCCAACAAAGACTGTTACTGCGTTGGATTTTTTTTTGAACGTAAAAATTATTGGAAATATCACTGAATTAAATCTAGATGTAGTGTATTTAGTCTTGTGTGTAGATTTAATTTTCTCCAAGGCTCTTAAGGAATTCATTGCTTTTAGTTGTATGTTTTTAAATTAGTTAAACAACAGTAAATAACTTAACAAACTAGGGAATGCTTTTAGATGGCTTAAGCCCATTTGCACTGCCTGAGTATAGTTCAGTTCTACTCTGTCCTATAGGGTCGCTATGAGTCGGAATCGACTCAACAGCAGTGGGTTTGGTTTTGGATTTTTTTGAGTATAGTTCAGACTTTCAGAGGGTATTTTGCAGAAACAGTTAATTTCAATGTTTTGCATTAGCTGTGGACAAAGCTTACAAGTTGCTACTGGATCAGGAGCAAAAGAAGAGGGCCCTGGATGTAATTCAGGCAGGAAAAGAATACGTGGAACACACTGTAAGTATTTATAGTGCTGCTGTGTTTACAGGAAGTACCAGCAATTTTTGGGCAACTTGTAGGAGGGTAAATGTTAGCATAGCAATGCCTGCTGGCTTCATTGGTGGCCACTTTTCTGGTCTCCACCACTTTGCTGTGGTGGTCGAGATAAGTGTGTGCCTATAGCTGTAATTACTGAGAACTCAGGGAGAGAAACGGCTAGGACATGGCTCCTACCTCTTTCCCTACCACCCCATGTTTTGGAGATAGAGCTTTTCTTGCCCTCTTGTTACATGTTGCCATGTTCCCCCATTCTGAGAGTGGAAAAGTAGAGCAGTGCTGTGACGTTTGACCCTTGATTTTTAATTTTTATCCTTGTCCCTGTGAAGTGGTTAGAATATGGGCTTGAGGAAGGCTGGCAAGGGGATATGAGTAATGTTTAAAACTAAGAAATTAATATCAGGGCTGGGAAGGACATTAGAAAGTGACAAAAGAAATGCAGTTAGCTGACATTACTTTTTGCTCTTGGGAGCATTACCTAAATCTCCTGTGTGATGGGAAATGTTAAGATGGCTTGCTTGAGGTAAGAAAGGCTTTTGTTTTGATTTTTAACTTACTGGGGCAAGAATCTCAAGGCCATTTATAAGAACTATTTCAGAGTCAGTGCTGACAATATGTTGGAAGAGAGTATGGATATGATCTTTCCTTTGAAGAGCTTTAGAATCTGAAACAGAAGTTTATAACCAATAATAATGAGTCTAGTTGAGATGAGGAAAATGGGTAAAAAAGAGGAGACAGAGGGCCATAATATGTCCTGTTGATTGTGTATTGGAAGTGATGGCACCTGTAGGCCCAATTCCTGTAGAAACCAGACAAGTGCCTGACAATTTCTCTTTAAATCATTGTGGTAGAAATACCCTTCTGTAGTTTACCTGTAAGAGAGCTATCTTTAGACATCCTGACCACAAGGTGGCAGTAGGGCCTTTCTGAGCTTGGAAGGCACTTGTTGGCGTTTTGCTGGTGTGATAGAATGAATGGTTATTTAATGGAGTAATGTCATTCTTGTGTAAATGGGTATATTTAGTCTTTTTTTTTTTTCAGTCTCAATGGTGGGCAAAGTGATAGAAACATCAATAATATGATGTAAAAATTATTAGTTTAAAGGGGTTTTACAGTTAAAATTGTCAAGAATACAGTTGTAGAAATGCTAAAACAAAAAAACAAAAAAACACAAACTTAATGCCACAGACTCTGTAACTTCTAAAACTTAACAAAATATATTGACTTTGCTATAAACACATAACCACAAGTTCTGAAAGGTAATTGGTTAATCCATTCAGCATGTCAAAGGCTCTTTGGATCTGGCAAAGGATCTGAGGAGTTGGGGATAACCCCTAGCTGACCCCCCTTCACCTTCTTGGTAGATTGGCTTTTAGATGAGGTCAGAGAAAGGACCCATGGTTCGTAGTTTTTCTTGATTACATTGGTGTTTTCGGGGTGGAAGATGAGGGGCTCATCTTTTTTTTAATGTAAACTTTTTGTTAAACTCTAACATACCTTCATAAAAGTGTACATATCATATGTGTAGATCTTGATGTATATTCTCAAAGTGTGGGTGCTAATCTTTTTATGAAAACTTTTTTTTTTTTTCCTTTTAGGTGAAAGAGCGAAAAAAGCAATTAAAGAAGGAAGGGAAACCTACAAACGTGGAGGAGGATGATCCTGAGCTGGTGAGTTAAATATGGGAAAAGTCCCCTGATGGGGTGAGATTGATTTTACTGATCGGTGGGTTAAACAGAGAGAAGCCTAAAGCATGATGCATATGTGCCTTCAACATTTTATTTTAATGTAAAACATTTTTTAATGTATGTTATTCATCCTTTTTTTGGTGTGGGGCTGTGGCCTTTTCTTTGAGTGTAAGTCCCCTGATTGGAGTTCCCCGTTGACTTTATTTTATAAACCACACAAAGCATTCTCTCTAATTTCTACTTTTAATTTCTTTTCAAGTGTATTGAAAACTTCGGTACTTGTGAAGCAGACTAAGAGCAAAATCATAGATATTTATGATTCTTTTTCCAGTTGTTTCCAGATGTCTCACCTGTACCTAATCCAACAGCAGTAATTTTTAGGGACTCGTGTTGATTGAATCTTGCAAAAGCATTCAACTTAGTTTTCAAAGAAATAAGTTTTTGTAACCATATTTATCAATTTCTGTGATACTTCAATTACATAACTACAGTAATAATTACAAATCGCATAAACAGCTTTGGAAACAAGTGCAGCTGACTCTTGATAAGCAGACAGCTGTCAGGTAGCCATAGCACTCTTTGCGTTCCCGAGGAAATGGAGAACATTGGTGAATCCAGTGAGTTATTTAGTAGAGCTTGGTTAGGGGAGATTCTACTTAAATATGTGTATCTGATTGCCTCACTAACCTGAAAAATTTAAAATCGTCTTAACCTGTCACAGTTTAGATCAATGTGTAGCTTATACCAGGTACTTATCTTGTTTTTCAAGATTTATAGAGGAGAGGCTGTCTTGCTAGGGAAACTTCCTTCTTGCAACTTCTTGCTTTAGTGATTTTTCGAACAGTGAGTGGTCCCATCTTTTTTGTGGTCACACTGTTTGAGAACGATTAGGTCTTCCCCAATAGCCACTTATTTGGGGATTTACTCTTGTAATGTTTTAGTATTTTCTTCTCAGTCCTATTTCCCTTCTATTTAATTGTCCTCCAGTCTTTCTGAAGACTCTCACAAATGCTCTTTGGTCCTTCTAAGTTGATAATTATTCTGCCTTTTTTGGTTATCTTTTTATTTTTCTGATTATACAGGAACACATGCTAATGATAGAAAATTTGGAAAAAGCAGAAAAATTAAAAAAATAAAAGTCCTTGTAACCATCCGTCCAGGAGAGTTAGCTTTTAAAGATAGTGAAATATTGTTTACAGAGACCTTCACCCCTTTGGTGTTTGTCCTTATGAGGGACTGGGGTTCATCATCATTGCTTTCACTAAGCAGTGCCTGGAAGGTAACAGCACTGAAGAGAAGTGACAGAACTGTTTTTTTTAAAAAATATTTTACTGTGTTTTCAGTGACAGTTTACACAGCAAATTAGGTTCCCATTTAACAGTTTTTATGGGTACTGTTCCGTGACATTGGTTACGATTTTCACAATGTGTCAGCATTCTCATCTCCATTCTGTTGGTTTTGTTTCCATTGATCTAGCTTCTCTTTCCCTGCTTGCCTTCTCATCTTTGCTTCTGGACAAATGTTGACCTTTTGGTCTCATGTAATTGTTTAAGGGAGCGTGTTACTCACAGATGATATTGTTGGGTACCTTAGAGCAATAGTCTTGGAGGTTCCTCTAGTCTATTGATCCAGTAAGTCTGGCTTTCTTTAGGAATTTGAATTTTGTTCTGTATTTTTCTTGCATTCTGTTTGGGACCTTCTATTTGTGTCCCTGGTCAGAATCATCAGTAGTGGTAGCTGGACACCATCTAGTTCTTCCGGTCTCAGGCTAGAAGAGGCCATGGTTCAGGTGGGCTGTTAGTTCTGTGGACTAGTTTCTTCTTTGAGTCTTTGGTGTCCTTCTTTCTCTTTTGTTCCAGACGAGTAGTGACCAACAGTTGTATCTTAGATGGCTGCTTGCAAGCTTTTAAGACCCCAAATGCTACTCACCAAACTAGGTTGTAGAACATTATCTTTACAAACTATGTTTTGCCAGTTGAGTGAATCGTCCCATGAGACTATGGTCCTCAGTCTTTTTTTTTTGTTTTTACTGAACTTTATTATTATTATTTTTTTAATTGTACTTCAGGTGAAGGCTTACAGAACAAATAGTTTCTCATGAAACAGTAGTACACATATTGTTTTATGACATTGGTTAACAACCCCACAACATGTCAACCCTCTCCCTTCTCGACCTTTTTTTTTTTTTTGGTGAAAATATACATAGCCAAAGATACACCATTTCAAAAATTTCTACATGCACAGTTCAGTGACATCGACTATGCTCTTCCAGTTGTGCTGCTATTCTCACTTAAGATGAAGGCTTACAGAACAAAATAGTTTCTCATTAAACAATTAGTACACATGTTGCCCTATGACAATGGTTAACAACCTCACAACACATCAGCAGTATCCTTACTCAACCTTGGGTTCCCTATCACCAGCTTCCTTGTCCCCTTCTGCCTTCTGGCCCTTGTCCCTGGACTGCTGTACCTCATTAGTCCCATTTGGTTTTACGGAGCTGTCCACTCCCCGGCCGAACGGTGAAACTCGGAGATGACTTCACCACTAAGCGAAAAGGGTCTCTGGGGGCCATACTGTTGGGGGTTTCTCCAGTCTCCTTTAAGCCAGTATATCTGGTCTTTTTTTTGTGAGTTAGAATTTTATTCTACGTCCTTCTCCAGCTCTGTCCAGAACCCTCTGTTGTGATCCCGGTCAGAGAAGTCAGTGATGGTAGCCAGGCACCATCTAGCTGTACTGGACTCAGTCTGGTGGAGGCCTTGGTAGCTGTGGTCCATTAGTCCTTTGGACTAATCTTTTCCTTGTATCCTGTTCTCTTCATTCTCCCTTGCTCCCGAAGGGGTGAGACCAGTGGAGTATCTTAGATGGATGCTCACAGGCTTTTAAGACCCCAGACGCTACTCACCAAGGTAGAATGTAGAACATTGCCTTTATAAACTGTGTTATGCCAGTTGAGCTAGATGTTCCCCGAGTATGGTCCTCAGTCTTTTAACCCAGTAAACCAATCCCACGAGGTGTTTCGATATGTCTAGGAAGTCTCCGTAACTGTGTTCCCTGTGTGCTTTATTATATATATGAATATATATACAGCACACTAAAACATGTATATACATATGCCTACAGATACACCTATACAAGCAGATGCATGCACTCAGATATGCCTTCCTGTATACGTATGTATGTACATATCTACCTATGTAACCACACTCATATTTTTTGGTTATTACTGTTGTTGTAAAACTGTATATGTTATAGCATTTACCAGAATTGTCCCTTATTCTTGCATACTTCTAAGTGTCTTCATTTGCTTTGGTCGCATTGTGCAGACTTCACCCATATTGGGTATTACCAGTGACAGAAACTGAGACTCCTTTACTTCCCTTTTCTCTGTACATCACTCTTTACTCCAGTGTCTCTGATTTAGGAGACAGGCCCAGTTAAATCTGCATGGTGGTTATTTTCTGTATTTTTTTGTACTTTATATTTGAGGGGAAAAACTTTTAAAGCCGGAGCAAAAACATAAGCTCTGTTCTTAAGATCTCGGTAAATGGTTAAAACTGATGGGGGAGGGAACTGTGATTTTATTAACTTTGTGTGACAGGGCTGGGTCACTTATGTTTTCTTCTTTCTTTTTTCTGTAATCCTAATAAATTTTAATAATTGCCTCTGTTTCTACCTTTGTAAGACTATTACATAGTAAATTTTTGAAAGGCTCTTTGCCTTTCTGTTTTCAACCTAATGTTTTATTATCTGTTTCCGTCAGTTAGAATATAAGTTCAGCTTCATAAAACTGAGATCCAAAGTGGTGGTGGTTTGAATCAGAGATTTGTTTTCTGTCCTATATAGTAGTCTTTGGAAAGATGGCCCTGGGGTGATATGGTGGTGCTGTACCATGTCTCATCCAAGGACTTAGTCTCCTCCTTTCCGTGGCTCTGCCAAAAGGATGTTGCCTCCATCCTTGTAGTCCAGGATATCTCATCACCTCACCCATGTGCCAAACAGCAGACTAGAGGAAAGAGGGTAGAAGGGATAAACCAGCTTCCTTTAAGAACATTCCAGAAAGTCGTTTTTCCTTACATTCCCTTGGCTAAAACTTAAGTTTCATGGCCACAGCTAGCTACAAGAAAATGTGGGAAAAATAGACTTTATGGTGGGTGGCCATGGGCCTTAAGGAAGAACTGATAACGGGGGAGGGAGTCAACTAGTAGGCTTGCACAGTTAGTAAGCCCCCAAGACTGGTCTGTTTGATAGCAGCTTCGTATCTTTAGTACCTAGCTTGGTAAAAAGAAAGAATGAAATTTATTTTTGGAAGTTCTTTTGAGGAAAAGGCCTTCTAAAACTCAGGTGGTGGTAATAAGGAAAAGGAGCTTTTTTTCTTATTGGATGCTTTTAATCAAAATAAGATTCTGTGTATCATCTGCATGGTAGAAGTAGAAAGATCTCATAGATGGATGTGTTATTTAACTCCCAAGAGAAAATCAGCATCATTAAGTGGGTCTCTCTGAAGAATCTTTTTTCCTTGCTGGGTTCTAATCTGCTTTTGACTTGGGCTCTATTTAAAAGTACTTGATTCAGATTGTTGGTAAAATTTTTAGTTTTCTTATGTTCTTAATTTTCTTGTAGTTCAAACAAGCAGTATACAAACAGACCATGAAACTCTTTGCTGAGCTTGAAATTAAAAGGAAAGAAAGAGAAGCCAAAGAGATGCATGAAAGGTACATATCAGTATATTCATTTAAACCTTACCTAAATACCTAGATCAGCCCAATTGGTCTTTGGGAGATTTTCCTAATGAAAGAATGATAGTGCATCAATCAAGAGACCATCTAAAATTGTTATCCAGAACAGCCAAGCTTTTGAATCACCAAGGTAAAAAATTATTGCTTTAACTTTTGGGAAATATTGAATAGATCTTTCCTTTGGGAGTTCATAATCAAGAATGGTGCGTGTTTTCTTTCTGATTTCCTAGAATAAAATAGGCAGAGTTATTAAGGCCATTGTTACTGAGGCCAGAACCTTTTGCGTGACTAGTGGCTGCTATAGTGAGTATGTAGTATCATATAGTATAATGACTTAGAAAATGTTGATTATTCTAAAGTGTGATATCCCTTGGTGCATCAGAAATGTTGTTAATTTGGTTTATGTATTTTGTGTTGTTAATTGGTGTTTAGCAGTAACTAAATTTTGCTCATTGAGGTTATTGTGTGTAATGTCCTTGTCTTGGATAGGGTTTTGCCCCGAGAACCTCTTGAGTAAGAACCTCTGCCGTTGCAATGGTCATTCTGCTTAATAACTGAAGTAAGGTTGCCTGGGTTCTTGATGTAGGTTTGTCATTGATTGAGCCCAAAACCTCAGATTATTGTTGGCTGGGCTTTCATTACCATGTCTGTGTGTCTTTATAACAGAGATCTTTGTGTCTGGCCCCACACCCCTGCCCACAGTTTCATCTGCATGTTTTAGAGCGAGATATTCACGAAAGTGCTATGAGCTGTTTCCAGGCAGCCATCTTTATAGCATCCTGTGTATAGGGAATTGATATACTTTATTTGCTTGCTCCTGTAGGAAAAGCCTTAACCTGTATGGTTAACACAGTCTATAAATATCATATAAATAGTCTATGGTCTGGTTTTCCTCTTAGGAAGCGACAAAGGGAAGAAGAAATTGAAGCTCAAGAAAAAGCCAAACGAGAAAGGGAGTGGCAGAAAAACTTTGAGGTAAGTTTTCAAGGTGGTCAGGGATTCTTATTCCAGAATTAAAAAAACTTCCCAGAATAGAAACTTTGTCCCTGGAGGCATCCCCACAGACAGGGAAATGGGATACATGGGGAAGAGTGGAAAATTTGAAGAATGAGTCTGGGCCCTAGCTCAGTTACCTTCAAGCTCTGTGACCGTGGGTAAGCGCAGTGAGGATCCCTGAATGGTGTTTTAGAGATTATGGTAGGCAGAGCTGCCACCTGGGCCCAAGAAAAATGATTGGTACGTCAGGGGTAAATATAGAGTAGGGCCCTCCTTAGAGGCCTGGTGATAGAAACTGAGGCTCATGTGACCCCAGTGTTTAGCCTGCAGAAAGACTTATGGCTTTGAACTTGACTCCTTTTCAAGACCCTGGTATATCCCTCACGTGCTCAGCTGATTTCCTGGGTTTTAGCAGCATTTTATCTTTTCTTCTGTAGAATTTAGGACTTAAGGTAGTGGTTGGCTAACCAGAGTTGATGACTTTGTTTCTGTCCCACTTCATGTATGAAAAGAGAAAATGAGCAGGCCCCTTGATAAAGAGAGAGAGATCTTAGTGAAACCCTTAACACAACTGGCTAGGCATCCGTCCATGTTTTTGGGGGTGGCAGGAAAAGGTAGTGGAAAGAGTTCCTGTAGTGCTGCTTAGTTGTATGGCCTTGAGAAAACAATTTAACCTCTCTGAGCCTCAGTGTCATCATTTGTGAAATGTGGGTGGCAGGATACACCTTAGTCAGGTCTTTGTGAGGATTAGAAATAGCATGCTAAACATCTAGTCCAGAGGTCCCGCCAAAATGGTGACCTCATTGTTATGGTGAGTGTTACTCAGTGTTACTTATTTACCCCCCTCCTCTTCCAACCTGGAGCTCATCCTGCCTTCTAGGGGTGATGTGACACTTCCCTGCGTCCGTGAAGTGGGAGAAAAGTTCTGCTGTGTTCTTCTCTTAGAGCTCTGGTGGCACAGTGGTTAAGAGCTCGGCTGCTAACCAGAAGGCTGGCAGTTGGAATCCACCAGCTGCTCCTTGGAAACCATATGGGGCAGTTCTCCTCTGTCCTACAGGGTTGCTATGGGTCGGAATCGACTCGACAGCAACAGGTTTGGTTTTTGGGTTTTTGGTTGGTTCTGCTCTTGGACCATTTCAGAGGACAGTGCTGGTCTGCAGGAGGGTGGGTGGGATGGCAGAGCAGATTGAGGCGCTTCCTCTCATTAACCAGCTTCCTCACTTCCAATTTCTTTTGTGCTTAGGAAAGTCGAGATGGTCGTGTGGATAGTTGGCGAAATTTCCAAGCAAACACCAAGGGGAAGAAAGAGAAGAAAAATCGGACCTTCCTGAGACCACCAAAAGTAAAAATGGAGCAGCGTGAGTGACCACCTGGGGTCACAGCCACAGAACCTTCCTCCAACTGCCTCCCCTCCTGCTTTGAAGGACTCATTCTTCCCACCCCTACCCCAACATAGAGTAGTATTTGCTTTTTAGTCCATTTTGTTTCAATACAATTTAATATCAATCAGAGTAATTCTTTTGTACATTGAAATGAGGAGCTCGGTTTTAAAACAAAGACCTTCCCCATCCCCTACCCCCAGAGCAGCCAGGATTGGAAGGTGCCACCATTGGTGCTCCTTCTGTTCCCACAGCCTGTAACTTAATGTTTTGTACTTCACTGAATTGTGATGGTTAGAACTTCATGTATAGTTTATGGAAATCATCCAATTAAACATGTTGCTTAAAATGGTGTTGCAGTGACTTTCGAGACAACCCTGGACCATCGTAGGAAGCCCTTTTCCTTCAGTAGCTTGTTTCTGAGCGTGGCATCCTTTGAAGCCGCAGATCAGACAGGGAAGGCAGTGCAGGCAAGCAGAGCAGTCACTTAATGCCCTGCCGCCCCATAGTGTTTGGCATGTGCCCTCCTAATCTGACTGACCAATCAGCTTGGCATGAGGCTCCGAGCCATGCAAACCTACTCACTTTCCAAAGAGCTAGCTGTCCTCTATCCAGTACCATTGTGTTCTAGCCTGTCTGTATTCGTTAGTAGTAAAATTCTGTATGTGTAATAAATTTTTGTACCCAAACCATTGATGTACTCTTCCTCAGGCTTTATTCCAAGGGTAGGTCCCTTGTCTGACTTGGCCCAACCCCGAAATGCTGGGGGCTCCCTACCACGTATTAGCTGAACCTTAATTTCTTCATCTGCAAAACTGGAATATAAATTACAACATCTTTTAGGGAGGTTTAGCGATGGTATATATAAGATATAGTGCCCAGTAGCTGTTGCTGATATACTGTTATTTCTGTGTAAAGTGAGGTTATTGATCATTGTGAGGATTAAATGAAATAATGTACATAAAGTGCCCAACTCATAGGATATGCTCAAATGTCTTGCTTGTTTTAAGGGACAGGATCAGCCCTTGAGAGGAGCATAAAGTGAGAAATAGAAAGATGGCACCAAAAATGTGAAAATATGAGGAACCATATCTTCAATTCAAAACCAGACATTTTGGGTTTCACAGTGTCTATCTTGTAGTATCAAGAAATACTTCGACCTTGATTTGCTTCTCTGTGGGAGGGGACAAAAACTTGGGTGTCTTATAGTCTTTTTTTTTTAAATTTTATTGTTCTTTAGGTGAAAGTTTACAGAGCAAATTAGTTTATCATTCAAAAATTTATACACAAGATGTTTCATGACATTGTTTGCAATCCCTGCAATGTGTCAGCACTCCCCCCTTTTCCACTCCAGGTGACCCGTTTCCATTTGTCCAGTTTTCCTGTCACTCTCTTCTCATCTTTGCTCTCGGGCAGGTGTTGCCCATTTGTTCTCATATACTTGATTGATCTAAGAAGCCTGTTCCTCACATGTGTTATTGTTTGTTTTGTAGGCCAATCTAATCTTCGGCTGAAAGGTGAACTTCAGGAGTGGCTTTAGTTCTGAGTTAGGGTGTCTGGGGCCCTAGCTGGGATTCCACCAGTCTCTGTCAGATCAGTAAGTCTGGTCTGTTTTTGTGAATTTAGATTTTGTTCTACATTTTTCTCCTCTGTCCAGGACCCTCTATTGTGATCTCAGTCAGAGCTGTTGGTGGTGGTAGTCGGGCAGCATCTAGTTCTTCTGGGCTCAGGCTGGTAGAGGCTGTGGTTCATGTAGTCCATTAGTCCTGTGAACTAATATTTTCCTTGTGTCTTTGATTTTCGTCATTCTCCTTTGCTGTGGACAGGATGGGACCAATAGATGTATCTTGCATGGCCACTTGCAAGCTTTTAAGACCCCAGATGCTACTCACCAAAATTGGATGTAGAACATTTTCTTTTTTTTTTTTTTTATTATTTTTATATATATATATATATATATATATATATATAGTTGTAGTTGAAGTGAAAGTTTACATTTCAAGTTAGTCTCTCATACAAAAATTTATACATAGTTATGTGACCCTAATTGCTCTCCCTATACTGTGACAGCACACTAGTCCCTTCCATCCCTGATTTCCCGTGTCCATTCAACCAGCTCCTAACCCTCTCTGTAGAACATTTTGTTTATGAACTATGTTATGCCAGTTGGCTTAGATGTCCTCCAAGATCACGGTCCTCAGCCCTTATCCCCAGTAACTCAGTCCCCCAAGGTGTTTGGATGTGTCCAGGAAGCTTCTATGACTGCCTCTTTTGTGCTCTATTATATATATGAATATACATGCTGTACATACAAATATGTATGTAAAAATGTCCACGGCCTAACCTATATGTGAATATACTCCTATATGCCCTCCTTCCCTTATTCAGCATACGTTTATAGTCTTTCCAAGTGCAAATGAGTACATCTAAGCCACAGATGAATTAGAGCACAGGGGTGGGTGGGTATGGCTCTGGTTAAAACTGGACCAAGGCAGCGGGAGGGAAACTTTTTGTCACTTTGCAGAGATAGTGCATGCCATGAGGTATTGTAGACTGTTCTGAGCATCGAGCAGCATCTACCATAATTCTAGCCTGCCAAAGTGACACCTATCCCCCTCCAATATGTGTGTGCACACACCCACCCCTTAGAGGTTATATGGTGGTCATTCAGCTCAGCTGTCTTTGCAAGTTAGTGAGGGCCAGACCTAGTCTTTGCCCTCAAGGACGCTGTGCCAGCAATCAGCTACTAGACTGCTTAATCATTCAACAAATATGCTGATCTGGGAATAAAGTGAAGGCCATGTGGCCTCTGCTGCCTTTGTCACAGCCTGCTGAGATACATGAACGAGTGAACAGGTGCAATGGTCATGAAAGGCACAGTGTGCGTCCATTGCCCAGAGGAGGGGGCCCGTCATCCTGTTCTTAGCAGCCAGGGAATGTTTCCTGAAGGAAGTGACCTTTTTAAAGTTCGAACCTGGAGGATGATACATTAGTTAGGAATGTTTTCAGCTGCAAGGAATACCTGGCATAAACAAGTAGAATATTTTGCTCACATGACAAGAAGTGTAGAGGTAGGTAGGTTCAGATATGGTCCATGGGCTCAATAATACCACCAAGGAACCAGTCTCTTACTGTTTCCATCCTTCTCAGGATGGCTTGTCACCTCATAGTTGCAAGAAGGTTGTGGGAACGCCACACGTCATACCAACTCCCAAGCAGAAAAAAGTCATCTGGGAAACAAAATCTTTCCCAGAAGATGTCACTGGCTAGAAAATGGGTCACAGCCACCTCTAAGGGATACTGGAAAAGTAGCAAAGGAGAATGGGCAGGTCACAGACCAAACATTATTCATCCCTTGGGGCTGGGAACCTACTGTTTCCATAAACTAAGATTTTGTTGGCAAGGAAGAAAGGGAGAATGGCTGCTGGATGCAGCTAACAGTGTCTGGCACAGATGGGTGGGTAGTACTTGAGAGGAAGATGTTTCAGTCAGGTAATAGCATGTACAAAGGCCCAGAGGCAAGAGCATGGCCTATTCATGGAATCGATAGGTGTTACGCCTACAGCATAGAAGTGGGATGAGGTGCGACCAGGGAGATCATAAAGTAGTGTTAAGGAATTTGGATTTCAGCTAGGTCGTCCCATTTTCCCAGCGAGACCAAAGTATCCTCATCTCCTTTCTAGCACATTTTAGCCACAGATCCACCTAGAAGATCAGGAGCAATCTTTTCAGTAATGACATGGCTGAGGGTGTGGGGTGTGGGTTGGGTATTACGTTGAGGCAGCATTAGTCAAGATTGGCCTCTAGGTGGGACAGGGGCTGTGGCAGCTTCTGCAGCACCTTCTGTCCATAAGTGGGTTAAGAGGTGCTCTTTGGGGCAGGAAAGGCAGATGGCCTGGAGACAATGAAAGGCTGGGTGAGCCACGTCACTCCTCTTCCATGGTTTGCTGCAAATAATGGAGCAGATAGTGACCACCCCCACACCTCAACTGCTGCCAGTGGGACTACTGTGGGCAGAGGTGAGGTGGGAGGAACCAGACAGATAGGGTTAGAATCCTGGCATTTGGGCAAGAGTCAACTCTGAGCCTCAGCTTCCTCTTGTGTAAAGTGGGAATTGTAACCAGAAGCACCAGCCCTTGCCTTTGGCCTCCCCCGCGGCCTCTCTGCCTTCTTGGGGCAGCCACAGCCAGGTCGGACCTTCCGGCCCATCTTGCTTCCCAGGGGCTCTAGTCAAGGCAGCAGGAAGTGTGTGTGGGAGGCTGCAGATGAGTCTGGGCCTGTGCTAAGGGTGGAACTTAGGAGGAGCAGGGTTTTCACCCGCTTCATTTCCTTTCCCCTCCCCACCATGAAACCTCCAGCCACCAACCCCTACCCTGGCTCATCTGGCTCATCTGCCCCCTTGCTGGAGGTTATCAGTGCTTCTGACCATTGGCGGGGGCGGGGGGAGGGACAGAGCTCTGCCAGGGTATTGTGGGTCTTTCTGACCCTGGGGATTGTGGAATGAGCGCTGACAAGGCATGGCGTCACCTTCCCGAGTATCTGTTCTGCCACTCATTAGGTTTGTAATGCTGTTAAATCTTTTCTCCTCTCTGGGCTTAAGCTTCCTCCTCTTTGGTAAAATGGAGTGAAAACCCTGTTTCACTGTTCCATGAATTCTGGTGAGATTCTACTTATTGTGAAAAGAACAAACCTTGCAAATGGAGGCAACAGGCCTGTGTTTGGAGTTCGACTGGAGTTTGGATCCTGGCTCCACTACCAACTGAGAGACTTCGTGCAAGTCTTCAGAATTCTCTGAGCCTCGGCTTCCTCATCTCTTAAATGTGTTGCCTTGAGCGTTAAGGAGACCTGGGAAGCCAGGCACCTGCACAGCTGAGTGGGTGCTCCTCACTCTCCCAGTGGGGCGTTTCTTGCTCTGGGATCTTTTTTCCTTGATGAATGAGCAGAGGATTGAGGATACCTGAGAAACTTGTTAAAAAGCCATTCTCTGGTCACCCTAAAGATTCTGATTCAGGATTCAAGGTGGAATGTGTGTGTGTGTCATGAATTGAATTGTGTCCTCCAGAAATATGTGTCAACTTGGTTAGGCCATGATTCTCAGTATTGTGTGGTTGTCCTCCATTTTGTGATTGTAATTTCATGTTAGAAAGGATTAGGGTGGGATTGTAACACCAGCCTTACCCAGGTCACATCCCTGATCCAATGTAAAGGTAGTTTCCCTGGAGTGTGGGCTGCATCACCTTTTATCTCTCAAGAGATAAAAAGGAAAGGGAAGCGAGCAGAGATGAGGACCTCATACCATCAAGAAAGCAGCACTGGGAGTAGAGTGCGTCCTTTGTGCCTGAGGTTCCTGCCCTGAGATGCTGCCAGACCAAGGGAACGCTGATGACAAGGACCTTCCTCCAGAGCTGACAGAGAAAGCCTTCTCCTGGAGCCGGCACCCTGAATTTGGACTTGTAGCCTACTAGACTGTGAGAGAATAAATTTCTTTGTTAAAGCCATCCAGCTGTGGTATTTCTGTTATAGTAGCACCAGATGACTAGCACAGTGTGTGTGTATGTGTGTGTTTTAATTGTTAACAAGCTCCTAGGGTTGGAGCCATGGGGCAGGGACAGCCAGTCCTACAAAGCAAGGGGAGGGACAAGGACTTGACGTTCCTTTCAGAGGTATCAATATCCTCACCCCATAT